ACAGCAATTACTGTATTGGCTGTTGTCATTTTTTAAAATGTTTTTATTGATTTGAGAGAGAAAGGAAGGGGGAGGGAGAGAAACATCGATGATAGAAACATCGATAGGCTGCCTCCTGCATGCCCACCAGGGATAGAGCCAACAATCTGTGAATGGACACTAACTGGGAATCGAAACAGTGACCTTTTGATGTATGAGACAACGTTCAACTGAGCCACACTGGCCAGGGCTATTGTCATTTTTTAATTTGACAACTCTTGAAAAAGAGGTCAGTGCCCTTGACTGAATAATCAGATATTGCATGTTTTAAAAATTCTTCAGCACAGCAGCTGAAAATCACTGTGCTAAGTGAAAGAAGAAGCATGTCTGAAAAGACTGCATATGGTGTGATTCACAACTACATGATATTCTGAGAAAGACAAAACTATGGAGACAGAAACAAAAAACATCAGGGGTAACGGGTTGGAGAGAAATAAATAAGTGGAGCACAGAGGATTTGTAGGCCAATGAAAATACTCTGCATGATACCATACTGATGGATCAATGTCATTATATATGTGTCCAAACCCATAGAATATACAAGAGTGAATCTTAATGTAAACTACAGAGTTTGAGTAATCATGATGTGTCAATGGCAGTTCATCAAGTGTAACAAATGTTGGGGGGATGTAGATAATGGGGGAGGCTACCCATGTACAGGAGTGTTTGGAAAATCTATGTACTTTCCCCTCAATTTTGCTGTGAACCTAACAGTGTTCTCTAACAATAAAGTCTTAATTTAAAAATAGTAAATTCCCACCAGTTGGTGTGACTGTGGTTGAGCATTAACCCATGCGCCAGGAGGTCACTGGTTCAGTTCCCAGTCAGGGCACATGCCCGGGTTTGTAGGCTTGCACCCAAGCAGGGCATGCAGGAGGCAGCTGATTGATGTTGATGTTTCTCTTTCATTGATGTTTCTCTCTCTGTCTCCCTCTCCCCCTCCTTTCTCTCTATAATCAATAAAAAACATTATTTTTAAAAATAGTAAATTCCCCCTGTTAAAATTCAATTCAATCCCATTATTTATAGGATAAAATCTGAACTCCCTTGCAAGGTATACAAATTTTTTTTTATGATGTGATTCCCATATACCTTTCCAAGCTCATCTTCAGTATCTTCCCTCCAAGACAGCATAGGAACTTGGGCTGGGACTGGAGAATACCAGTGCCCAGGAAGCCAAGTTCAGTTAGTCAGAAAAAAACTTGGGTGAGCTAACCACAAAAATGTCACCACTCCTCCACTCCCTTCTCAAAAATGCAGAGGCAGCTGGTTTTATCTCCCTTCTTACTACATGCTTAAACTACTGACCTGCATGCACAGTTGATCCAGGTTTGACCACTATACGACTTCCCCAGGGTGGTGGTAATGAGCAGAATACCATCTTGCCCCCAGAGGGCAGGCATGGACATAAGTTACCAGGAAGACAGCTGGGAAAGGAAGTCACCTAAGCCCTAAAATGGGGAATTCCAAAAGCCTACCTTTTTCCAAAAGCCCACCTTTTCACCCAAGCCTGCTTTGTCCCCCGCTTATAAAAGGAGCCAGGCAGAGCTCCCCCACACCAAAGCCCAGTCAGTTCAGAGGACCTTCCTTTCCTCTGTGTGGTCTCCCTTGCCCTTAAGCGTAAGTTTCATCTAATCTGTCTGGAAATTTCCTTCTGCTTTCTAGCTTGGGGAACCCAAGAACCCCAATGCTGATAAGAATTCCACCCAACTTCACCTTCTGACAGACATGTGAACCACAAATTCTCACTCCTCCAAGCTTGTCCATTTGGAGTCTCTTGGCTTGGCAAATGTACAGGAGATTCATCCTTGACATGTCTGCTGTCTGCCCTGCAGGCTGGACCTAGGCCAGAACAGGGGGTCTGAAATCCCCCTTAGAGACTGCCTGATGGTAACCCATGTTCATTCTGACATAAACATCCCTCCCCTGCCTTCTGCTCTGGGCTGGTTCTGGAACAGGTTGTTGTCCTGACCAAACATGTAATTTCCATACCTGGTAGCATTCACCTACTTGTACCCATGACTATCACCCCTTTACCTCATATAATTCTCTGGCACCTGCCAAGGAAAGTAGCGAGGGGATCCGTTTTGTAGTGCAGTTACCCAAGACATATCTCATATGTAAGTTTCCCTTAATAAACTCTACTAGTTACCAGACTGGACTGACCAGCCTCTTTCTTCAGTCTTTCCCTGCTCTCCACTTCCAGAGGTAGCTTTTCAGTCTCAGGTTTTCATTGGGTCTGCATGTATGAACAGTAAAACCCCACTTACTCTTCATGTCTCAGTACAAATGCAGCCTGCCCTGTGAACCTTCCCGCACGTCCCTATTTAGAGCCCGCCCCCTCTTCAGTCTTGGTAGCATGTCTGCTGGCATTTTGTTCTTGACTCCACCATCTAATTGTACGTTAACTGTTTAAATCCCTAGTATTTGTCCCCATTAGAAAGTAAGGATTATGTTCCATTCTTTCTGTATCTCCAGAGCCAAATACACAACTTCACCCAAAGTAAAAAAGACATCAAAAGAGAAAAAAAGCCTGACCAGTGTGGCTCAGTGGTTGAGTGTCAACCTATGAACCAAGCATTTACAGTTCAATTCCTGGTCAGGGTACATGCCTGGGTTGTGGGCTCTATCCCAAGTGGGGGCAGGAGTCAGCCGATAAACAATACTCCCTCGTCATTGATGTTTTATCTCCCTCTCCCTTCCTCTCTGAAGTAAATAAAAAAATTTTTTCAAAAGAAAAAGAAGATGGGTATGAATGACCTCATAAGAATTTAAGGATCTGCAAGTCTTTCTGTGGAAAACTTAAACAACCTTTTAGCAGAATTATCGGCAAGTTAAAAACTTCAATAAGCATATGCAGAATACAATACTAATTTTATAAGAGGGGGGAGGGGAAACCTTATGCTTAAAAAAGGATTGAAGGAAAGCACCAAAATATTAAAACTAATGTGGTTAGAATTGTGAGAAACCACAAGTAATCTCCCCCCTTTCCTCTGCTTCCAGAAATGTTTTAAATACTTAACCTATACTACTTCCATGACTTTGGCTCCTTAAAGATTAGTAACTACATTCTAAACTTCCAAACCTACCAAACCAAAATGGTGAGAACCATGCAACTCCATTCACAGAGGAAACTGATGAGAACATAGCACTCTGCCATCCTCGGGGTAGGAGAAAGAAAAGATGGAGGCTGTATATTTTTCTAACACATTGGCTTATATGATTACTAGAGGCTCAGTGCACAAATTTGTGCATGGGCGGGATTCCTCAGCCTGGCTGGCAATCGGAGCCAATCAGGGGGGTAGGGAAAGTGCCCAATTAGCCAGAGGGACGGACTGCAGGAGGATGGCTGGCTGTGGGAGTGCACTGACCACCAGGGAGCAGCTCCTGCTATGAGCATCTGCCCCCTGGTGGTCAGTGCACATCATAGCAACCAGTCACTTAGGCTTCTATATATGCTGTATAGACTAGTGGCCTGGTGCATGAAATTCGTGCACAGGGGCGAGGGGATTTCCTCTCAGCCCAGCCTGCACCCTCTCCAATTGAGGACCCCTGGGGTAGATGTCTGACTGCCATATCAGGCCTAAACCAGCAATCAGACATCCCTCTCACAATCTGGGACTGATGGCTCCTAACCACTCACCTGCCTGCCTGCCTGATTGCCTCTGCCTGATCGCCCCTGACCTCTCTGCCTGCCTGCTCGCCCCCAACTGCCCTCTCCTGCCAGCTTGATCTTGCCCCAAACTGCCCTCCTCTGCTAGCCTGATCACCCCTAACTGCCTCTGCCTCGGCCACCACCACCATGGCTTTGTCCGAAGGAAGTCGAATGGCCAGAAGATGGCTGGTCGATCCGGTCTGATTAGCATATTACCTTTGTATTAGTATAGATAGAGTATGTAGGATAGGATTGCTTAAATGGGGGGTGGGGGAGACACGCTTTTTCAGCAGGAGATGCTCTTGGTAGACAAAAATACATAATCCCTATATTTGGCCTGATAGCCAGCCATATACACTGTACTGCCAAACCAATCATTAAAAAATTGAACTGCTTTTTCACACCTTACATCAAACAGCTGTTGCCCTTAAAACCCCTCCTTAGCCCCTGCCTTAAGTTCTGCCTTCGCAGTTCATCCAGATTAGGTTCTGATTAATTTGTTTATATGCCTGTCAGGGTCAAAAGCTCTGCCTCCTAGGCAGCAATTGGCTCTTCACAGTTCACCTAGATTTGGTTCCGATTGGTCGGTTTCTATGCCAGTCAGCATCTCTGGGTCTACCTCCAGGCCTGAGCAGAGAGTCAAGGGCTGATCAACAGCAGCCATGGAGGCTACTGATCAGACCTTGGTTCTCTCTCCAGGCCTCTCTCAGGGCCCTGATCCTTAGCCCCCTCGGCAGTCCGTCCAGCCTTTGGTCATTTTGGACGTCACAGATCTTGGGTTTTTATATATTAGGATTCTTACAATATATTCCTAACCTGTTTTGATCATCTCTTTGAAGATCCAAAATAAGAGACTACTTAAATGGGACAAATGCACTCATCAATTACCTTTTACAATAGTAGATGCTAAGGGTTATACCAGGTAAAATAAAGCATAGTCTCTATCTTCAAGTAATTTACCATTTGGTGGGAGAGGGGAACTACCCAGATGAAATGGGAACAGTATACAATTGAGTGATGAATTATGTGGTATAGACAATAACTGGCCAAATCAACATATACCATTAATACCTGATAAGCATGGCATAGTCAGAAACAGTAATTGTTCTATTTTTAGATTGGAAAGATGAGCTGTTAGTTACAAGTTACAAATGTCACACTAAATAATAAAGATATTTTTCAAATTGTAACGTTTTGTGTTGTTTTTTTTTAGTTTGTTTTTAAGTGTGACAGAAACTGAAGCAAATCAAATTTGAGATCCTGGCTTTTCTAAATGGTTGGAATTATCTAAGGAAAAAAAATATACCTGAGATTTTTGTCTTTGGCCTTCGACTGCTGGGAAGAGCTCCATCCAGAGACTGAGCAGGGTGAAAAGGTTGACTTTAGAAAGCCTTGGTATTTGACCTACAAAAGAGAGGGCAGGCACTTTAAAAATGGTGCTGGTGAAAATATGAACTAAGCTCCATGCCACTTAGGGGTTCGGGATGGGAATGGGGGGACAAGAGGACAAGAGAATCAAAGAGGTTTCTTAGCAGGAAACCGGCCACCATCTCACTTGCAGTGACCTCCGCAGCACTTTCCACAGCCGGAACCTCTCTCTCCAGCCCTCACACCGCTGGGGCGGGGTGCTGGCGATGGGAACACCCCAGAGGGAGCTATGAAAACCCCCAGCATCTGATGTCAGCGCGGAGCAAGCTTTTCTTTGGACTGTGGTGTTGCAGCAGGGGCGGTGGCTACAACCTGGTACCGAAAATGCGGTGATCTTTGAGGGAAAAGCAGTTGAAATGTAGGACAGTGTGACGTGTGGTTAATTTGGAAATCAAGTCAAAAAGCACGGCTTTCAGGCTCCTCATTCCCAGAGGTCCCGACGGTCCTGGAGAAACAGTGACAGGGGGCGGAACATAACGGGGAGAGGGAGGGAGGGAGGTGAGCGCGGGCCTTCCAAGGCAGAGGCAGGCAGGCCGGGGAGCCGCCGCCGGGGCAGGGGCGGCCCCGGGGCAGGAGGCGGCCAGGGGCGGAGGGAGAGGCGGCGGGCCCGGGAGCACGGGAGCCGGGCCGCGGGCGGCGCGGGTCGCACTCACCGGTCATGCTGTCGGTCTGGGTGCTGACGGACCGCCCGGCGCCCGTGCCCTCCAGGTTTTGCATCTGCCCCGCTGCCCTCGCCCGGCGGCCGCCGCAGCCCGGGGGCCCCGCGGTTAGGCATGGCCCCAGCGCCACATCCCCCGTCGCCCCCTCCGGCGCAGTTCAGCTCGCAGCGGCCTGATGACGTATCGCCGCCGGCCCCACCGGGCGCTTCTGTGACGTCAGAGCAAGGCGGGGACGCCGCGGCGCCCGGCTGCCCCTCCAGCGCCCACCGGGTGGGTGGGAAGCATGGAGCAGTAACCGATTTGAGGCCGCCCTTTATTTTTTTATTTTTTTTAATTGATTGTGGTATCACGTAATTGTCCTCATCCCCCCATTCCCATCCCAAACCCCTCCCTACATATGCCCCCGCCCCCCTGTTGTCCATGGGCACTGGCCGGGCCCATATGCATGCACACAAGTCCTTTGGTTGGTCTCTCCCTCTTACCCCCACCCTCCCCTACTTTCCCTCTGAGGTTTGAGAGTCTGATCACTGCTTCTCTTTCTCTGGGTCTCTTTTTGTTCATCAGTTTATGTTGTTCATTATTTCCTCTAGATGTGTGAGATCATGTGATCCAAGAAATACCCTTGTAAGAACCTAAACTGCGACAAGCCATAATGATTATGCTGAGAGGCAAATAGATCAGTCTGTAGTGAGTTCCTTTCTGGGCCAACAGTTCTTTTGAGTCCCAATTTCAATGTCAAATGGTTCTTTATGTGCACATGTCAGCCATGATATTTCAAATCTGGTTGGTGGACAAACGGTGGTGATGCAGGTCTGACCATCTCTGGTTTGGTCCTGGGCATCCTTCAGCAACACGCAGCTGCTGTCTGCTGGTATGGCGAGGCATTCTCAGCATCTTCCATCTCTGAATTATGTCTCTTCTGTCTTCATGGCTGGAGCACTTCTGTATTCCTCTCCGTTACAGGATTCCAGATGGTCTCGGAGTTGTTTTCTAAAAATATACAAACATATTCTCGACCAAAAGTTAATAAAGGGATATTTTCTTTAAATTTGACTTGGGATCCTTTTTTATTTTATTTTTTCCAAATAATTTTCTTCTGGCTTGTTTTGACACTATGTGTGTATTTTCATGGGTATCTTGCTGTTAGTGTTTCGAATAAAGGTTAATTTTCTAAAGTATAAATTTTTTAGATGTAAATTATTCTCAGGATATTTTTCCACTGTCACCCCCTTTTTTAATTTAAATAACAGGAGACTTTTGGAAATTTTATAATGTAGTCTTGATAGCTTTTACATTTTAATTATTTGCGCTACACTATGACTGCTTTAGGTTCATAACATGTTGTGCAATTTTACCATGAGACGCTCTTGAGGCCAGCTTTTGGCTACCCGCTGTGTTTGGCCAGCTTTTGGCTGCCCGCTGTGTGTGGCCAGCTTTTGGCTGCCCTCTGTGTTTGGCCAGCTTTTGGCTGCCCGCTGTGTGTGGCCAGCTTTTGGCTGCCCTCTGTGTTTGGCCAGCTTTTGGCTGCCCGCTGTGTGTGGCTGTCTGGGTGGGTTTTGCCGGAGGAAGGTTGCTTGAGGATGTCTTGGTTTGGAGCAGCAGGTCGGAGTCTGCGTCATGAGCCGAGCTCAGGTTTGAGATCTGGGATCAGAGAGGTTATAGAAATGGAAACTTGCCATTGGGGGTGAGGGGTGGGGAGTGGGAGGTGGGGGTGAGAGGTCGCAAGAGGAGGGGAGGCTCAGTGGTTGAACATCAGAACCTATGAACCAGGATGTCTAGGTTGGATTCCCAGTCAGGGCACATGCCTGGATTGCAGGCTCCATCCCCAGTGTGGGGGGTGCAGGAGGCAGCCACGCAATGATTCTCTCTCCTCGTTGATGTTTTTCTCTCTCCTTCCTGTCTGAAATCAATAAAAATACATTTTTTAAATGGAAACCTACTCTGCTCCATCTATTATGGTTGAGGTCTTAGAGAATCACCAAAGTGAAGGGGTGGGAGCTGGGGGTCCAGATAGTTAGTTGTTAACATCAGAGATTGGCCGGTGCCAAGACCATCGTTGGGATGTTCTGCTTTGTGGACCTTGAAAAAGAAGATACCTACAGAGAAGGGCTCCTCGTGGCCAACTGGGCTTAAATTTGAAAGTAGAACCTAGCAGCCATTTCCCAACAGGGCTTATGGGGCGAAGCTTGCACTGAACTGCCTTCCTACACTGTGTTCCTACCAACAGAACCAGCCCTTACAAAGGAGTTCTTGGAATTGTATTTCAACCAATAGGACTAAGACTTTCCCCATCCAATCAGTGCTTTGCAGCTATATCCCATTAGCATTTTCACTGACCAATCAAGACACTGCTATTTGGGGATAATCATACTGTGCTGATTTGAAGCCCTCATTTGCCATCAGGGACCTGGGGCAGGGACTTGTGTCTATGTAAGTCAGCTTCCCTCTGGCTGAGAGTGTACTTTCCCTTTCCACGGAAGACTGAAGACTGGTTTGTTTTTGTTTTCAGCTGGAGCTGAAACACCTTGCCACTTCATAATTGAGCTTTAATGCTATTAACCTGTTCCACAGCACAGCTGTTTGCATTGCATAAAGTTACCTTCAACATACCTCGAATTGAAGATTCCTGTTGACATTCAATCAGCATCAATGACCACTGTGTCGACAGCTTCTTATCAAACACAGGAAGACATCAAGAGATGGAACTATGATTATGAAGAAGGTGAGGGTAGGTGGTAGCAAGTGATCCCTGGAAAATCTAAGCAGTACTTGACGTTGTAAATTTGTGCCCTGAGCATTTTATAAGTGTCCTGGGCCCTCCTTGTGACTCATTCTGTTATCACAACTTGAAATACTGACAAATAACATGGCATTACCACTGGTTTTTGAAAGCAAAAGCTGAATGCTATTAAAGTACTTTGTAAAGGACTGAAGTGAGACTCTTCAGTGTTGAGGGGTATGGCTGTGGTTCATTAATTTTTACTACTGTAGAGTACCACAATTTATCCATATTTGAGCTGTTGATGAAAACAGGCCCCATGCTAACCTGACTAGCTCAGGGAAGGCATGTGTGGCGATCTTGCAAACTCAGAGACCTAAAGTAACCGCAAAGGATGGCCTGAAATGAAAACTTTTAATTAAAAAATCAGTTTATGGTAGTTAGTCATGTCTTAGGCCTGTATCTTCCCTGACAAAGGTCAATTTTTACCTTAACTGAGCCTATTGTCTTTTTGCATATGTAATAACATATTTTTGAAATTCAAAGTAATTTTCCTTCAATTGAATTACAATGAACACTAGAGGCCAAAGAACAGAAGGCCTCAAGTGTTCTTATAAAACAGTTTCTTTAGAGACTATACTTATGAGTAGAATTTTTGTGTTGCTACTATCAATTTATGAAATAAAGCTGAAAAGTTTTTCAAAGAGATTAGACCAATTAGCTCTATGTCCCCATGATTTAATTCCTGGTCAGGGCACATGCCGGGGTTGTGGGCTCCATCCCCAGTGTAGGGTGTGCAGGAGTCAGCCGATCAATGATTCTCTCTCATCATTGATGTTTCTATCTCTCTCTCCCTCTCCCTTCCTCTCTGAAATCAATAAAAAAAATTTTTTTCAAAATAGGCAAATGTCTTGAATAGTTAAATCATAAAAGAAGGTATACAGATGACAATTGAACACATAAAAGAAGGTTCAGGTTCACCATCATTAGCCATTCAGGAAATGCAAATTAAAACCATGATGAGATACCACTGCATACCTATTAGAATAGTGAAATAAAAAGTACTGATAGAACCAAATAATGGCAAGAATGCAGGGCAGCTGAATCTCTCATATATTGTGGATAGGAATATAAAATGGTATAGCCACTCTGGAAAAACAGTTTGACAGTCTCTTTTAAAGTTACACAGATGATTATCATATCACCCAGCAATCACATTCCTGTGTATTCATTTTAGAAGAATGAAAACTTACGTTCACATAAAACTCTATACATAAATGTTTATAGAAGTTTTATTTGTAATTAAAAAAACAAAACTGGAAACAAGCCAAGTAAGCAGCAATAGGTAAATAATAAACAAACTAAGGAATATCTTAAATTAAATACTACTTAGCAATCAAAAGGAAGGAACTCCCCTGGCTAGGTGGCTCGGTTGGTTGGAGCATTGCCCCATATACTGAAAAGTTTCGGGTTTGATTCCCAGTCCAGGCTCATACAGGAGGCAATTAATCAATATTTCTCTCTCTCTCTCTCTCTCTCTCTCTCTCTCTCTCTCTCTCTCTCTCTCTCTCTCTTTCTCTCTCTCTCTCTCTCTCTCTTTCTCTCTCTCTCTCACTCTCTCTGAAATTAATTGACACATATCCTTGGGTGAGGATTAAATAAAGAAAAAAATGAAAACTACTGATTAATTTTGGATGAATGTCCAGAGCATTATGCTAAGTTGAAAGAGCCAATCTTAATGGGTTAGACACTATATTATTCTATTTTATATACCATTCTCAGATTGAAAATACTATAGTGATGGAGAATAGATCAATGGCTGCCAAGTGCTTTATTTTGGAGAAGGGTGTGACTATTAAGGTAACTCAAGGGAATTTGTGTTGATAGTAACTTATATCTATACAGATGAAAAAATTTCATATAACTGAGACAGCATAGGCCCAGAAGGAACTTGGGATAGCTGACTACAAAAATGTTACCACCCCTTACTCAAATACACAGAGGAAGCTGATTTTATCGCCCTTCTAACTGGAATGCACAGTTGATCAAGGTTTGACTGCCAGAGGAGCAGCAGCCACATGCACCCGTCCAAGGAGCAGCCCACCCCTGCCCAAGGAGCAGCAGATACACGCAGTTCGCACCCATTCAAGGAACAGCAGCTGCATGAAAAGCCTGCCCCTGCAGAGAGAGGATCATAGGCATACTGAAAATAAAGATGGCAATAAACAAATACTTATCAATAATAACCTTAGAGGGAGACAAAATGGTGACGGAATAGACAGATGTGTCCCAAGCCTTGTCCTGGAGCAGATAGAATCAGCAACTAAATCAAATAACAT